AACGAATTTAGTCGTCATTACTTATTCTTAATTCATGGCCATTATTTACTAAAACAAGGTAACGAATTTAGTCGTCGTAACGAATTCTTAGTTCATGGCCACTATTTACTAAAACAAGGTAACGAATTTAGTCGTCGTAACGAATTCTTAATATATGGCCACTATTTACTAAAACAAGGTAACGAATTTAGTCGTCGTAGCGAATTCTTAGTTCATGGCCACTATTTACTAAAACAAGGTAACGAATTAAGTCGTCATTACTTATTCTTAATTCATGGCCATTATTTACTAAAACAAGGTAACGAATTTAGTCGTCGTAGCGAATTCTTAATTCATGGCCACTATTTACTAAAACAAGGTAACGAATTTAGTCGTCATAACGAATTCTTAATATATGGCCACTATTTACTAAAACAAGGTAACGAATTTAGTCGTCGTAGCGAATTCTTAGTTCATGGCCACTATTTACTAAAACAAGGTAACGAATTAAGTCGTCATTACTTATTCTTAATTCATGGCCATTATTTACTAAAACAAGGTAACGAATTTAGTCGTCGTAGCGAATTCTTAATTCATGGCCACTATTTACTAAAACAAGGTAACGAATTTAGTCGTCATAACGAATTCTTAATTCATGGCCACTATTTACTAAAACAAGGTAACGAATTTAGTCGTCGTAACGAATTCTTAGTTCATGGCCACTATTTACTAAAACAAGGTAACAAATTAAGTCGTCATTACTTATTCTTAATTCATGGCCATTATTTACTAAAGCGAGGGAACAAATTAGTTCAAAGTGGCCACGATTTACTAAAACAAGGGAACGAATTTTTAAATTGTGGCCATAATATACATAAGATAGACAATATATATATTTACTTATTGTGATGTTTCGAAAACCTCTGTGACTGTCACTCAACTGTTAAATGTAATTAAAATAGCACTTAATGTGTAATTATTACGCATAAAGACGCTTAATTCAGGCTTTTATCTTAGTTAGTTTGGCTGTTTTGTCATCATATGAAGCTGTTTTTGATGTCCGACTGATTCATGCATTGGATATGAATCATCCGATTATTTTGGTCAGTTGACTAAAACTTTCTGCAGCTCACGGGACAGTAAACAAGATTCCCAAAGTGTTTCTGGAAAGGGTGGGAATAGATTGTAGCATTGAAGTGTCTTCATAAGAGAGAGTGTGTGTGTGTGTGTGTGTGTGTGGGTCGTGAGAGACTGTGCCGTGGCCAGTACTCACTGGGTTGTGGTTAACTCGCTGCTATGGAAACTCTATTCACAGCACTGAATGCGTTCACCCGGCGAGCCTCATGAATGCTGGGCACGGACTGTGGGACACATCGGGATCTGAAAGGCCTCTCCGCTGCTTAATAAATCTGCTGTAATTTGCCTTTGTGTGCTGGGAAACGGCTCTGTGTGGAGGAACGTTCAGGATCGGGGCCGGGCACAATGGGCCCTGATTAATCACTGTGGGCTCTGCTCCCGGATGAGGGAGACATGTACATACACCTGAATCTCATCATTTGAGGCTTGTTAAACATGTTTCTAAATTAAACCTATTTTATAGTACCTTTTTTTTTTTTTTTTTATGCGATGTAACTCGTGACCAATAAGCACATTTCTTCCTCCAGGATCATTGGGATTTTTTCTCTCTCATTTTAGTATGTTATAATTAAGGCGATGAGCAACTAAGAAGGCAAACATATGCTCACATTCCCATATTATCCCATTTTTAATTTATTTTCTTTTATTAAATAATTCATTAATTAATTTTCTGACATTCTCCCATTATTCCCATATTATTTATTTATTTTTAAATATTTTTCACATTCCCATATTATTATCATCCCATTTTTATTTATTTATTTATTTATTTATTTATTCTCACATTCTCATATTATTACCATATTATCATCCCATTTTTATTTTATTTATTTATTTATTCTCATATTATTCCCATATTATTATCACATTTTTATTTTATTTATTTATTTATTCTCAGATTCTCATATTATTCCCATATTATTATCACATTTTTATTTTATTTATTTATTTATTCTCACATTCTCATATTATTCCCATATTATTATCACATTTTTATTTTATTTATTTATTTATTCTCACATTCTCATATTATTCCCATATTATCATCCCATTTTTATTTTATTTATTTATTTATTCTCACATTCTCATATTATTCCCATATTATTATCACATTTTTATTTTATTTATTTATTTATTCTCAGATTCTCATATTATTCCCATATTATTATCACATTTTTATTTTATTTATTTATTTATTCTCACATTCTCATATTATTCCCATATTATTATCACATTTTTATTTTATTTATTTATTTATTCTCACATTCTCATATTATTCCCATATTATCATCCCATTTTTATTTTATTTATTTATTTATTCTCACATTCTCATATTATTCCCATATTATTATCACATTTTTATTTTATTTATTTATTTATTCTCAGATTCTCATATTATTCCCATATTATTATCACATTTTTATTTTATTAATTAATTAATTTTCTCACATTATCATAATATTCCCATAGTATTCCCCTTTATATATATATATATATATATATATATATATATATATATATATATATATATATATATATATATATATTTTTTAAATCTCATTACATTTTTTTTCCTCACATTCCTATATTATTCTTTTATTTATTTATTTATTTATTTATTTTTGCTATTCAACTTTTCATGACAATTAAGCGTATTTCTTTGTCCAGGATCATTACTTTAAACATCGAATTTTAATTACTGTAATGTGAAAAAAGTACATTATTAAAATATTTAAATATTTTTAATTATTTAAAACATTGATATTTGTCATTGTAGTATTTGTTATGTTGCTTTTATTTTTACAGTAATGAAAATGCTAATGAAAATGTTGAGAATAAGGAAAATTATAAACAAAAATCTGAATAAAAACATTACAATAATAACAATGTATCAGAAATAATATCAGAATATAGTTCATCAGTTAAAACAGCATCAGCGTCACCACTTTAGTTAGTTTCTACCAAACACTGGCATTAATGCACCGAATCCTCGACCTGTTTAATATAGAGCTGATTAGTTTCAGTGTTTGTCTTTCATGTCTTGTTTAAATGTGGCTTTGGTTCATTTATTAATCTTGATAGATTATGACGTGTGCATTATTGCCCAGCAGCAGTTCGTGTGTGTCTTCATCACTCCTCATCATCATCACTGATCATCGAGTCCAGACTCTGAGTGTGTTAGAGTTAAAGTGAAGAGCGAGGAAGAAGGAAAACATATGCTCATATTTCCATAAAAGGCTCCATTAATTATTCATGCCTGGATTTTGTTTTAGAGTTGTTTTCTCCAGGAGTATTTCTCTAGTGGTGCTTTTATGGTCTTCGTCCCTGTAACACTGATAAAACCCATGGCCAGTTGTGTGATTGTTTTGTTTTTGTTTGTGAACCCAGATCGAGGAAGCACATTAACACACACACACACACACACACACACACTCTCTCTCTCTCTCTCTCTCTCTCTCTCTCTCTCTCTCTCTCTCTCTCTCTCTCTCTCTCTCTCTCTCTCTCTCTCTCTCTCTCTCTCTCTCTCTCTCACACACACACTCTCACACACACACACACACTAACACACACTCTCTCTCTCTCTCTCTCTCTCTCTCTCTCTCTCTCTCTCTCTCACACACACACACACACACACACACACACACACACACATGCTCACACACACACACATGCTCACACACACACACACACACATGCATCCTGACACACACACACACACACATGCAGTTCATTAGTTTTTTGTTTTTCACACTCTGTTCTTTACTCTGTTTTTAATTAGTCCGTTCTCAGTTTTATGGTGGAGAAATAGTTCACCAACCCAGAGCAATCTCTTGTTGACTCATGTTTGTTATGCTGTTATTTTTCAATGTTTTTTTTCTGTGAAAAACAAAATAAGAGTTTTAGAAGTTTTTTGTGTGTGTGTGTGTGTCTGCTGACGTGTCCTAATGTGTAAACATTATCGGATGCGCACTCACACACGTACACACACACACACACGTGACCTAATGTGTAAACATTATCGGATGCGCACTCACTCACACACGCGTGCACACACACAAACACAAACACACACACACACACACACACACACACACACACGTGACCTAATGTGTAAACATTATCGGATGCGCACTCACTCACACACGCGTGCACACACACAAACACAAACACACACACACACACACACACACACACACACACACGTGACCTAATGTGTAAACATTATCGGATGCGCACTCACTCACACACGCGTGCACACACACAAACACAAACACACACACACGTGACCTAATGTGTAAACATTATCCGAAGCACACACACTCGCGCACACACACACACACACACACACACACACGTATGTGACCTAATGTGTAAACATTATCGGAAGCGCACTCACTCACACACGCGCACACACACACACACACACACACACACACGTATGTGACCTAATGTGTAAACATTATCGGAAGCGCACTCACTCACACACGCGCACACACACACACACACACACACACGTATGTGACCTAATGTGTAAACATTATCGGAAGCGCACTCACTCACACACACACACACACACACACACACACGCATATGTGAATATTTGCATGTATATTTATACACAATTTATATTATAAAATATAAATAACACATTTTTCTAAAATATATACATGCACGTGTGTGTATTTATATACATAATAATTATACACAGAACACATATTTATGTAACACAAACTTTTCTTTCGGATGCGATTAATCGCGATTAATCGTTGCCCAGGAATGTGCAGCATGCATGTTGAGTATAACTCTTAAACCTGTACTGATTATAAACTGTGTGTGTGTGTGTGTGTGTGTGTGTGTGTGTGTGTGTGTGTGTGTGTGTGCAGGTTGCTTCGAGTGCTGCATTAAGTGTCTGGGAGGCGTGCCGTACGCGTCTCTGCTGGCCACCATCTTGTGTTTCTCTGGAGTGGCTCTGTTCTGCGGATGTGGACACGTCGCTCTCACGGGAACACTCACTATCCTGGAGAACCACTTCTCCCGGGTCACCGCCGACCACGCCATGCTGACCGACATGTGAGTGTGTGTGTGTGTGTATTACTCATATTGTGTGTAAGCATTAAGCTACTCGATACTTGCATAACTCGATACCTACTCACGATGCAGCTCGAGTACCTTATTGCTTTTATAATCACACAATATAAATATTAAAGCCAAAAAATATGTATCAATGCAACTTTCATAAAGTAATATCACTAAAAGCCGTCCTTCCGCTGGGAAAAATAGTCCCTGACCGTAAACAGCAGCAGAAGTCACATACATTATTCCTCCATTAGATGGCGGCAAAGACTGTCTTAAAGGCGCAGTGTGTAAGTTTTAGCGGCATCTAGTGGTGAGGTTGTGAACTGCACCCAACTGAAGTTACGGTGGCCGACAGGAAGTGATGTCATCGTCTGAGACAGCAGAGAGGAGCCAGTTCAGCAATGATGTTTCTTTACATAGACAAATTAAGAAATTAAGTTTACTTGATTATTAAGTAAAACGATATGTTATTGTTACCTGTTCATCATTGTGTCAGTGTTTTATTCGCTGACTTTAGCAGCTTCTCTGCACGAAGAACAACATAGAGACGAAACATGTCGGTGTAAGCGAACCCGCGGTGTGTGTAGAGAGAAACGCTCATTCTAAGCTAATAAACACATAACGCTTCATTATGTAAGCTCTTTACTCACCACTGAACACATACCGTATTTTCCGCACTATAAGGCGCACCTTCAATGAATGACCTATTTTAGAACATTTTTCATATATAGGGCGCACCGGATTATAAGGCGCATAAGATACTGCAGTCAAACGTTTGACTGGGTTTGCCTTATGCATCCACTAGATGTCAACAAATGTCAACAAAACAGTCAGATAAAGTCAAACTTTATTAAGCGTTCTGACAACTCCGTTCACTCCCATGGTAACGTTGTTCAAACGTTAAAGGAAAACTCCGGTCAATTTTAACATTGAGCTCATTTTTTGTAAATTTGGAGTGCTGTCAGTACAGATAACAACGACAAAAACCGGTGTTGCCTACACTGTGTTATCCTCTTTTTAAAATCTGCACCCTGTTGACTTAAACGGGGCAAGTTTTAAACCTGCTTTTAGCCTCTTAACAACCTTAATGTGTCATTACAAGTGCACAGCCATGTGAGTGAACACAGTGAATCTGACTGCAATAAATGTGAAAGATATGAATAAAAATGACGTTTATTCAGCCAGCTCACATACCCGTATTTAGTTCCTGTTTTCGGTCGAAGTCCACAGTAGGCGATTCAGCCGATGACGGTGCTGTGTGGTGTTCTGAGAATATCAGCTCAAATGGATAGTTCATCCGGATCAGATGTTGAACACACGGAGGAGGTTTGATCGCGCGCGCGAACTCGACAATCGACTACTGTGGACTTCGACCGAAAACAGGAAGTAAATACGGGTGTGTGAGCTGGCTGAATAAAGAGATTATTCCTGCCTTCGTGAAAGCTCGGATCCCAGTTGAGACTGATATATCAGCCCAGGCATCCACGATCCATTGGCAGATAGTGGCGTAAGTCGCCCGGCGCTGTCTCCCCGTCTTGGTGAACGTGTGTGTGTTCACCATCCATATATAAGGCGCACTGTCGTTTTTTGAGAAAATTAAAGGCTTTTAAGTGCGCCTTATAGTGCGGAAAATACGGTAGTTATTAGGGGTGTAAATCGGACAGTTCATCACGATACGATACGATATCGATTCTCTCAGCCAGCGATACGCAGAGGTGGAAAGAGTAATAAAATATTCTACTCAAGTAAAAGTACTACTACTTCAATTAAATTTTACTTAAGTACAAGTAAAAGTACCGGTCTAAAAATCTACTCAAGTAAAAGTAAAAAGTAGCTCATTTAAAATTTACTCAGAGTAAAAGTTACTGAGTAACTTTTTTAACAGCGGGGGTGGGGGACTCTCCCGTGTAGGCTTGTAATGGTATGAGATTTTCACAGGATGATAACGTCTCAGAAAATATCACGGTTTACAGTATTAATCAATTATTAAATAAATAAACTGTATTATTAAATTATGGGTATTATTATTATTATCATCATCAGTTAAAATGACAGTTAAATTAAAGGGTCACTTCAGGATTTAGCATTAAGCTTTGTATCAGTAGAAAACCTGTAGTATTTTCGAATTACCGGATTTTTTGGCCAGAGGCTAAAGACTACAGTCAGTAGAAAGAGATGTTCCGCATGTTCTCAACCCGCCCATAGAGGGTGGGATCTCACTCACAGAATGTACACATAGTGTCAGACATCTTTGTTTGGAAGCTAAGCTAGCAGGCTCTTGTTCTGTGGAGAAAGCGGAGTAGTAGGGGTTACCATCCTCTTTTTCCCAGACGTCGAGATCGTCCAAAATGTCCGGGATTCAGCTTCTGCTTTCTGCAGACGCCATTCATTGTTTACATGCACACCTTTTGTTTTAATCTAACTGAATTCATTCCGATTGGTGAATCTGAATGTAGTGTTTACATGTAGTGTCTCACAGGTGTCGCTCATCGGTAATCACGCCACCGGCCGCACGCCGTTCTCCCGCGGCCCTCACTCGTCCTGCTCGCCACAGTAAACATGATGAATGGCGACTGTAGAACGCAAAAGCCGAATCCCGGACATTATGGGCGATCTCAAAAAACCCGGGCAGACTCATCACACTCAAACAAATGCTTTTATTATAACAAACTTGAAACCATTTGTTTGTTTTGTTTATTAAAATTTCAATAAAACATGTCTAATCAATTAAATTTGATAATTGATAATGAATTAGATTAACAACTTATTTTTAACATTAATAATTTATTAAAATGTTTAAGAAAAATATTGTCCTATGAAATGTATTTTATTCAGAAAATTAATGTTTCTTTTTATGATTTAATCCAAATATATTATCAAAAACGGTTGTAATCAAATGTAAATTTAAAATTGTGTCCTTTTATTTTTTGGGGAAGCGCTGCAAAAACAGATTTACTAAATTAAACCAAGGACAAAAAATATATTCCTTTAAATAATGTTTAAATAAAATGTATTATTATTGTTGTTATTATTATTATTATTTAGAGAAGTAGGCTACGTTCTATTGTATGCCTATAGTAATGTATTTCTGTCCTAATTTCTCCTAGTAAAACCAAACTTTTATTTTGACGGGTTGTAGTGAAGACCAAAAGTGTAAAAAAGTGTTTCAAAGTGTATTTGACAATGGTTTATCTCAAATAAAATTATGAAAATGCTCATTAGGCGTTCTCTCAGAGCAGCTCTGGAAATGTTCATGTATTCATATCCTCAAATTGTTTGTGAGACTCTGAATGTCACGCGTATTTGAGTAAGTTATGTAGTTAGTAGACAAAGCGGCGCCGCTCAGCAGAACAAATAGGGTTATATATTTACATGCAGTATTTTTGTGCTTAGCTTAAATATTCACAGACCATGTCGCGATTGGATTTATTGCATAGTTCTACTTTCCATGTATTCATCCATCCATTATTTTACGTGACATCTGCGTTATGTAAATTTCATTTTCATGACTGGATTCCGGGGTTCCCTCTGCATCATGATAATCGGGACATACCTTTATCTGCAGGAGGGATGGTGTCCTATATCCTCCTTTTGCAGCTACTTTGCGTCCACATTTTTGTGTGGACAAATTGGATATCTATCCTCGAGGACAACCACACTTTTTTTTCTACAAAGTATTTTCATACTGTCCATAATTCGCTTGGCGCTTCGGTTTCAGCTTCAGCTGGGTCTGCGTCACCTTTCTTGTGCGTTTGTTCTCCCGCCCTTCAATCAATGCAGTAGTTTCCGGAGTGTGTTTTTTTTTCTTTTCTTCTTGTATTATTATTTTTTACTCAGTAACGGATATGATTTCAAATGTAGCGAACTACAATACTTCAAAGAAAACGTACTTAAGTAAAAGTAAAAGTACAGATTTTAAAAACTACTTAAAAAAGTAGAAGTACACAAAAAAACTACTCAATTACGTAACGCGAGTAAATGTAATTCGTTACTTTCCACCTCTGGCGATACGATTATTGCCGATACCTCAAAAAATTCCGCGATACGATTACGATTCGATTCGATTCAGGGTTATCAATCGATTTATCGATATTTAGATATTATGTGCCAAGTTTACACAACCAGTTACGTTTATTAACTCACAAATGCATCCAAAAATATATGAAAGTTTAATTAAACTCTTTGAAAATTGCACACCCTCTCCCAATTGGGACATTTACAAGTTGTTTGTTACAAGTTACAAGTAAAAACAGAGTTATCTGTTTTTGCAAATGAACAAACAGAAGAGGTTGTTTTGATTAAGTAATAATAACAAAAAAAAATACAGGTAAATTATTAAATTAAAGTGCATTGAAAGTATTTTTTTATATGGCTATAGCTATATATTTTTTGTGTGTGGCAAAAGCAGATAACTCCACATTTCATGTTTCAGAGTTAAACAAAGCCTAGTAATTGCTATGATACTTAATAAAACACTTAATCTTTGTAATGTTAATCTCCTCAGCTGACATCTAGACGCCTGTCAAACTTTGTTGTTGTGAATAACGTACACGCGATACAGAGAGCTTTTCCCTCACCACTAACCTGCTGTTTTAGCAAGATTCCGTGAAAAAGTTTCAGATCTTATTTTCCTTTTACGCCCCGAAGAAGATATCACAGGTTCATCAAGTTCGTTGAAATCCATCCTCGATCACTTTTAATCAGCTTTGACGAAACTCCTCTCAGCTAGCGCGTCTTTTCAAAGTGACTAGCAGGCTTGTCACCTGACCTGAATACTGCGCACTGTTTCACAAACAAGGGTGCTTGTCGTTTCTGCTGTAAAAGATGAACTCGCGATGCCTTGACAGTGGAAAATACCGGCTTTTGTGACAAAGGGTTCAGTCAATCTTGTCAGGCGTCTATTTCAGCTGAGAAAAATTATGTGAGGATGTGGAGAGTGTCAAAATAAAGGTACCGTATAATCGATATTTTATGTGTTGCATCGATGCATCGTATCGTTAGACTTTTGATCGATGTATCGATCCATATCGATGTATTGTTACACCCCTAGTAGTTATGTATATGATATTGCATTTCTGTCAACAGATCCTCCTAAATATTACACACTGCAGCTTTAATGAGTGAGTCCATCAGTAGAGAAGACTTTTATATTGAAAGGCCTGAAACTTGTTGTGAGAAGCAAGACTCAACTGATAAATGACTAGCTTGGCAAAACCCCTTAACTGTAAAAAGGACAATCGGTTAATATATAATACATTTAATAACTGTAAATGCAGGTGCACTCGCTTTACTTATCTTATCTCTGTAAAGCTGCTTTGAAACAATCTCCATTGTTAAAAGCGCTATATAAATGAAGATGACTTGACTTTACTCGATCTCTCGATACTCTATAAGCTTCAATGAACAATATCAATGAGAACTATTATGTTTGCGTTGCTAAGAGTGGTTGCTAGGGGTGTTGTGTAGTGATACATTAAAGCGGTCCGTGTTTTATCGTGAATAAAACACAGCTATTGACCAATCAGAATCAAGGACTGGATCTAACTGTTTAATAAAGTCCTTTGTAAATGACAACAGAAGATGGTTTTACATTTGTTAAAATTATTTGGTGTGTTTAAAAATTAAGTATTTAAAGTCCCGCTGTGGTGTAAATCCAGCGTTTAATGTTGTTTATGTGTCTATGTGGTGTTATTAATACGCTTAAAGCATGTGTAAGTTCATAAGTCGACAGCATTGCTGAGTATTTCCTCCTTAAAACTGCAGTGAACCAAAGACAGTCTCAAAAACACGGTTTGAAATCGCTGGTGTTTCTGACGTCACAAACGACCTTGTAACCAATCAGATCAACGTGTGATCGTCAACCAGTGGATCTCTGAGCTGAGTGAGCGAGTGGAGGCGGGGCTCATCTGCATATTCATAGAACCGCGCATACTAAATGAGGCAAGGGTGTCGAGTTACATTCAAGATATTTTAAGGCATGACAAAAATATTTCAAGGAAAAAACGTTTAAATATGTAATTAAGGTGATCAAAGATGAGTTTTAAGGGATAAAACGATTGACTACAGGGGGACTTTAAAATAAATAAATACATTTAAAATTAAAAACAAATCAAAATACTTACTAATATTTTATTTTTATTTGCCATGTTTCATTATATTATATATTAAATAAGCAATACTGAACAAGCAAGATTGTCAGTCATATTGCTTAATAAATGTGTATTTTTTCGTTGTTTGTAAGTTCAAGCATTAAAAACACAGCAGTTTTTCTTAAGCTGGCGTTCATGAGATGACAAAAAGCCAATAATCAAGTCATTAAAATGTAAAAAAAATCCAATCAAAAAGAGACACTAAAAACATTGAAAAATACTTGACCGACATCAGAGAAGCGTGAATATGCAAATGTGTTGTTAAACTATTAAAATATTAATTTAAAAGAAAAATCAGAGATGAGTTTTAAGGGGGACTTTAAAGCCTCATGGGACGATAATAGAGATGTTGATTTCTAGCAGCTCGTGTCTCAGTGTCACGGGTTACATCAGATTCTCCTGGGAATTAAATGTATTTTCTTGAAATTTACCTGATCATTCAACATGAATGAATCTCACTGGATCATGGTTTATTATATCTGTCTTGAGATACGAATTCATCTCTTAATATGACATCTGCTGGTGATTTATCAGCGCTTCACATCAGTTCTGTCCTCCGTCGTGAGACTGAATTAAAGCGGTGACGAGGGTTCCTCTAACGACGCTGAGCCTCAACGAGAGAATCACCTCGATGTTCAACTCTATTCATATTTATTCATATAGCGCTTTTCACAGCACATGTCGTTTCACAGCAGCTTTACAGAAGTGCACGAGTCCACATTACAGTTTACAGTGATCTGATATCAGAGACTGACTGAGTTATGCATTTCAGAAATGTGCAAATACAAATCACAGTTACGTAAAGGGATTAATTTAAACAATGTAATAATTTAATGCAGAAAACAATGAGCTCATTGAAGAAATGTGTCTGTCTGTCTCTCTATCTCTCTCTTTATCTATCTATCTATCTATCTATCTATCTATCTATCTATCTATCTATCTATCTATCTATCTATCTATCTATCTATCTGTCTATCTATCTATCTATCTATCTATCTATCTATCTATCTATCTATCTATCTATCTATCTATCTATCTATCTATCTATCTATCTATCTATCTATCTATCTATCTGTCTGTCTGTCTGTCTGTCTGTCTGTCTGTCTCTCTATCTCTCTCTTTATCTGTCTATCTATCTATCTATCTATCTATCTATCTATCTATCTATCTATCTATCTATCTATCTATCTATCTGTCTGTCTGTCTGTCTGTCTCTCTATCTCTCTCTTTATCTCTCTCTTTATCTGTCTATCTATCTATCTATCTATCTATCTATCTATCTATCTATCTATCTGTCTGTCTGTCTGTCTGTCTGTCTCTCTATCTCTCTCTTTATCTCTCTCTTTATCTGTCTATCTATCTATCTATCTATCTATCTATCTATCTATCTATCTATCTATCTATCTATCTATCTATCTATCTGTCTATCTATCTATCTGTCTGTCTATACATCCATCTATCTGTCTGTCTCTCTATCTCTCTCTTTATCTGTCTATCTATCTGTCTGTCTGTCTGTCTGTCTGTCTGTCTGTCTGTCTGTCTGTCTGTCTGTCTGTCTGTCTATCTATCTATCTATCTATCTATCTATCTATCTATCTATCTATCTATCTATCTATCTATCTATCTATCTATCTATCTATCTATCTATCTATCTATCTATCTATCTATCTATCTATCTGTCTGTCTGTCTGTCTGTCTGTCTATCTATCTATCTGTCTGTCTATACATCCATCTATCTGTCTGTCTCTCTATCTCTCTCTTTATCTGTCTGTCTGTCTGTCTGTCTGTCTGTCTGTCTGTCTGTCTGTCTGTCTGTCTGTCTATCTATCTATCTATCTATCTATCTATCTATCTATCTATCTATCTATCTATCTATCTATCTATCTATCTATCTATCTATCTATCTATCTATCTATCTATCTATCTATCTATCTATCTATCTATTAGGGCTGTAACGATACGCGATATAAAATCGAAATCGCGATACTCAGGTCCACGATCCTGTATCGCGATGTGAGAAGGCAGAATCGCGATCACACCCCTTCCAACTCCCAGAGTTATCCTTCCTGTCCAGAACTACCACATCTTTAAATTACTATTAGTATTATTTGAAGTTAACATTATAAAATACGTAGACCTACACCACAAAACTAGTTGAGGATAAATTATTTAATTTGGCAATTTCAGCATTATGGACGTGAAATTTGCAGCCAAAACTTGAAATATAAATTCTCAGAAAGTGCATTAAATTAATAATTTAATAATAAATTAACAAGTCCAACATGCAGATGCATATCCTACGGCACCATCCCGAAATCAATTTAGTTGGAGTACAGAACACAACCCAAAAGCAGCAGCCTACACTGCCTAGTATAGTTTAGTAATTTGCATAGTTGTTATTGTTCTTTGGTGTTTAGATTATACAGGTTTTTCCTAATGTTATTTAATAAAAATACCGGTATTTTTTTTTCTTCTCTCAAAATCTTTTTCACCACAAGCCCCGCCCCCTCAAGCCCCGCCCCCGTGATAGAATCGCGATACGAATCGAATCGTGGGTCAAAAATCGTGATACGAATCGAATCGTGGGTTTGGTGTATCGTTACAGCCCTACTATCTATCTATCTATCTATCTATCTATCTATCTATCTATCTATCTATCTATCTATCTGTCTGTCTGTCTGTCTGTCTGTCTATCTGTCTCTCTATCTCTCTCTTTATCTGTCTATCTATCTATCTATCTATCTGTCTATCTATCTATCTATCTATCTATCTATCTATCTATCTATCTATCTATCTATCTATCTGTCTCTCTATCTCTCTCTTTATCTGTCTATCTATCTATCTATCTGTCTATCTATCTATCTGTCTGTCTGTCTGTCTGTCTGTCTATCTATCTATCTATCTATCTATCTATCTATCTATCTATCTATCTATCTATCTATCTATCTATCTATCTATCTATCTATCTATCTATCTATCTATCTATCTTAGTAAGTAATAAAAACTTAAACTTATTAAAACTAAAAACCTTCAAGCTTTTAAAACGACTTTAATCTTTCTGGCTTGGATTTTTCAAGCCAACTTAAAGTTTGTCTACAAACCTTTTTGAAATAGATTCCGCGCAGTGACATCTGTTCCCTCTCTCTGCTGTCCTCCAGAGTCCAGCTCATGCAGTACGTCATCTACGGCATCGCCTCCTTCTTCTTCCTGTACGGCATCATCCTCCTCGCCGAGGGCTTTTACACCACCAGCGCCGTGAAGGAGCTCCACAACGAGTTCAAGACCACCGTGTGCGGACGCTGCATCAGTGGGATGGTACCGTATACTCGGCTTCTGTTCCTCTCTTCAGTGTTCCTCTCTTAAGCTCCAGTTCTCCTCTATATCAGTGTCAGTGTTCCTGAACTCCTGAAACGCCTCCACTGTATCTTGAATTTCTCCCGGGAACGAACACGTCACAATATTCCTCATTATAATAATTAATGCACAGAATAAAGGGGCGGGGCCTGGTTGAGTTAGTCAGTAGTGTGTTAAACTGGCGGTTATGGAAAGGGGCGGGACATTTCCCAAACACACTCGAAGCGCTCGACCAATCACAACACACTGCTCCAGCCGACCAATCAGAGCACAGTGTGCTTTCAGGAGGAGGGGCTTCATAGAGACAGGAAGTAAACAGAGCGTTACTGACAGACTGGGAAGAGAGGAGCCGCAAAAATGGAGAATATGAGGAGAATAATCAACATTCAAGCAGGAAAACCTGTTCTAGTAGAGCCTGAAACTACATCAAGACTTTATAAAGAGTCCAGTGTAGTTCAGAAATTATTAATTATATCCCATAGAGTCGCTGTGGAGTCTGAAACCATTCTAGTTATTGTCTTTTTAATGTCTTGATGATATTACAGGAAATTTCACCTTTTAAACTTTAAGGCTTTAATCAACACAATGATCAAAAATACAGTAAAACAGTGTAATATTACTCCAGTGTAAATCATCTGTTTTCTATGTCAATATACAGTAAAGTGCAATTTATTCCTGTGATTTTCAGCATCATTACTCCAGTCTTCAGTGTCACATGATCCTGTTCAAGAGTTGATTGTTAAATGTCTCTCTCTCAGTTCGTGTTCCTGACGTATGTCCTGGGAATCGCGTGGCTCGGTGTCTTCGGCTTCTCAGCGGTTCCCGTGTTCCTGTTCTACAACATGTGGTCGACCTGCGCCGCCATGCGCTCGCCGGTGGCCAACCTCACGTCCATCGACAGCATCTGCGTGGATGTGCGTCAGTACGGTACGCCAACACGCTCCGCATCCAGTGTGTTCTCATCGGGTCCTCTAAGATATCGGCAGCAGGGTTTGACTTTAAAGGGGTAGTTCACCCAAAAATGAAAGTTCTGTCAGTAATTGCTCTCCCTCATGTTGTTCAACCCCGTAAGACCTTCGTTCATCTTCAGAACACAAATTAAGATATTTTTGATTAAATCTGAGAGCTGGATCACTCCTCCATAGGCTTCTAAGGGATTGAAACTGGCCCAGAAAGTTATTAAAGACAACGTTAAAATAGTCAAGGTGACGACAGCGGCTCAACCTCAAGTTTATCAAGCGACTAGAATACTTTCTGTGCGCAAAAAACAAACAAAAATAACGACTTTATTCAACTCTTCATGTTCTTCTCTGTGGGCCTCGAGTGAGTTCTCGTAGTGTAACAGCGCAGCGCTTCTGTGTCGTCACACGCAGGCTCACTATTGGCCATTATCACACGCATCACACACATGACCAAAAGTGAGCCTACGTTCTTATTAATATCTTAATTTGTGTTCTGAAGATGAACGAAAATCTTACGGGGTTGAACAACATGAGGGCGAGTCATTACTGACAGAACTTTCATTTTTGGGTGAACTAACCCTTTAAAGGAGTAGTTCACTTTTAAAAAAACTTTTGCTGATAATTTACTCACCCCCATGTCATCCAAGATGTCCATGTCTTTCTTTCTTCAGTCGAAAAGAAATTAAGGTTTTTGATGAAAACATTCCAGGATTTTTCTCCATATAATGCACTTTACTGGGCAGCAAACGGTTCAAGGTCCAAAAGACAGTTTCAGTGCAAACTGTTCAAAGGGCTTTAAACGATTCCAGACGATGAATAAGGGTCTTATCAAGCGAAACGATCGCTTATTTAAAAAAGAAATAACAAAGTTTAAGTTTTATAAGCTCACATGCTCGCCTCGCTCTGTTCTGTGTGACTCTCCTGTTCGAACTCGTTCATCAAAATGAACAAATCTTTTTCCGAGTCAATTCGTTCATTTCGGTCGTTAAATGAACCAAATGACTCGAAACAAACGTGCATCACAGAACAGAGCAAGGCGGGCATTTGACATTATTAAACTTAAACTTTGTTATTTATTTTTTAAATGAGCGATCGTTTCGCTTGATAAGACCCTTATTCATCGTCTGGTGTCGTTTAAAGCCCTTTGAACAGTTTGCACTGAAACTGTCTTTTGGACCTTGAACCGTTTGCTGCCCAGTAAAGTGCATTATATGGAGAAAAATCCTGGAATGTTTTCATCAAAAACCTTAATTTCTTTTCGACTGAAGAAAGAAAGACATGGACATCTTGGATGACATGGGGGTGTGTAAATTATCAGCAAAAGTTTTTTTTAAAGTGAACTACTCCTTTAACACTCGCCAAATCTGGGTAAAAATCAACTGTGGCGGGTAACGCTGTCAAATCACGGCAATATGGCGTTTTACTTGATCTTTAATATATCGTGATCCTCATGATATATTAAATACAGCGTATTGCAGAATCTGCTCATTTCTGGCTTACTTGAACACACACGTCACTACACAACACATAACGGCGCGCTTGTTCACTTGCATTGAAGCAATAGCGAATATTAAAAAGCATTTGGTGAACAGAAAAGACATTGTTATTTTCCAGCATCCGACATGTTTCGATGTTCTGTGTGCTGTACTGATCTGTGCACATAAACACATGTTTGGTGATGAGGATGAAAGAGGAAGAGGAGATGCTGGATGACAGGATTTTTGAATAAGAAATCAATGTATGAAATCCAATTTTTATTTCATATATATATAACATGTAACGTAGATACAGGTGAAACTCGAAAAATTTGAATATTGTGCAAAAGTTTGCATGCAGAGTGAGATATTTCAAGCCTTTATTTGTTATAATTTTGATGATTATGGCTTACAGATATGAAAGCCTTTTCACAATATTCTAATTTTGAATGTGGGGTTTTCATAAGCTGTAAGCCATAATCATCACAATTATAACAAATAAAGGCTTGAAATATCTCACTTTGCATGTAATGAGTCTATATAATATATTAGTCTCAGCTTTTAAGTTGAATTACTGAAATAAATGAACTTTTGCACCATATTCTCATTTTTCGAGTTTCACGTGTAATTTAGTTTATTAATTTATTAATCTATTTTTTTGGCCAGTAGAAGTTCTGAATGGCCGGTAATTTAAAAATTTAGTAGCCAAATTGTCCGGTGAGTGAAAAAGTTCATTTCAAACCCTGACAGATAATGTCACTTTAATCGGAAACGACTTGCGTTGCATTTAAGGTTTACATTTAATCAATTCAGGCATTCCCTGGAAATCAGTGCAGTGTGTGTGATCGTTGACTCTGTGTGTCGAAACAGGGATTATCCCATGGAACGCCACACCGGGGAAAGCTTGCGGCTCAACGCTAGGTGACATCTGCAACACCAGTGAGGTATGAACACACATCTCTCCAGCGGTAGATATGCATGATAATACACAAGATAATACACATGATATACATGATAATACACATGATATGCATGATAATACACATGATAATACACATATATGCATGACAATACACATGATAATACACATATATGCATGACAATACACATGATATACATGATAATACACATGATATGCATGATAATACACATGATATACATGATAATACACATGATATGCATGATAATACACATGATAAACATGATAATACACATGATATACATGATAATACACATGATATGCATGATAATACACATATATGCATGATAATACACATGATATGCATGATAATACACATGATA